CAAAAATAATAACTAGATTAATTTAGGAATGTGGGGATGCTGATTCTAAAAAAATAACCACATCTAAGCAATTATTTACTATTATCAATAAATGGTCAATGAGTGGAGCTTATAAAAAATTTATTTTACCAACATCAACATTACCTTCTTACAAATTACATTCTAAAGCAATTTATACAAGTAGACTTTTTAGTACCACAAGTTCAAAACCAGTAAATGCATCAAATTTTATGAAAATGTACAGTAAAGGTAAAACATTTTATTTAATTCAAATATTTAAGATCTAACAATATTAATTTATAATTTTTTATAGGTTCAAGATGTTAGATTTAATAAACTTTTCATAGGCTCGAAATCCATTGGATTTAGTAAATTACTTATTGTTTTTAATGTTACACTCTGAATTCCTATACGAATCCACTTTTAATCATTTATATCCCAACCTCTAATTTGTCAATCTTGCCAAATTGCTGAATATACAGATCCAAATCCACCTTTTGTCATATATTTTACAAGACATAATCTATTAAATGGAATCCATTCAATAACTTTATATGGTCTGTCTGCAGCAAGTTGTAATTTTTGAATAAAATCATCTATTTTAATATTATTACTAGTCAATTTTTAAAATTATTTTGAAAACAGCTTGAATTACATGGTTGACGCCACTTTGTTAATAAAGTCCATATAATTACACAAGGTTGATTACATTCGTCACATACTTCTGTCAAACTTCCTGCCATTTCTGTACTATTAGCAAATTCAACATCAAGATCCCAATATTTACATTTTTCTACAACACAATCCCGATATAAACCATTGTCCATATTCCAATATGTATTGTTAAAATAATAGCTATAGAAGTCCATTCTATTTGGATCTATATTTCGTACAAAATAGCCCAACACAAAAAAATTATATGGATGTATTTCTAATGACTTTTCAAGAAATATAAATGCTTCTTCATATTTTTCCATATTATTATAAGTTCCTCCTTTCATAACTAATGTCTATGCATCTTCAAGTGCTTCTTCATATTTCTCTAACGCTCGATAATGTTCTCCTCGAGCTCCTAAAGCCTCAATATTATTTGGATT